TTTTGCTATGTGGCAAGAAACGGTCTCCATACAATAAACATCCTCTGAGGGCTGGATGGACTCTGCTGCCGGAGATCTGGACAGTGTTACGCAGAGACATGGACGTTTGCAGGGCTGCAAATGCAGCCAAAAAATAAATAACAGGCTGCCCGTCACCCTCGCGTGTGGGAGAAGTTACGTGGGAATTTTTTGCAGAAAGGACATTTCAGGAATTAGCCTATACAAGAGGGGAGAAGGGGAGGGGGGGCAACAACATTTTGGGAGCAGAAACCACCCTCACGGACACGATAGTGGTGAAGGTCTCACCCAAAGGTGAAGTGGGTTTAGGGTAAATAATAGAGCGTTTACTAATCACATGCAAATATTAGCTGACCGTTGGGTAACTGGGAGGCGGGAAAGAGAAAAATGAAGGGTTATAGACAGTCCACGTATTTCTATTTTATTTCCTTCGCCTCCTCTGGAATTATGACTGAAGCCATAAACCTTTACACCAATTAAATGGACCATTATAAATATATACATACACACACGCGCGCGCCATCAGAACGTTTCCTCTACGTAAAATGAAATATATTGAATATTTTTAAAAAAATAATCCGGTTAATCTTCCACTGTAAGTACTGCCTCTTACAAATTTGCACGGCTATTTCCTTAATGTAATTGACTTGATCTAATATGCAGAATTAAATATTAAAGAGGAAGAAAGCTGTTAATAATTGATACTGTTAATCCTGCTACCCATCCTTTGATGGCAATGGAGGGCTCTGCTTCATAACAGATTTTTATTCGGTTTGGTTTTATTTTTTGGTCATATCTTGGATCGTTAAAACATAAGATATTTTAAAACTCAAATGTTGTTTTATCTATTCACTATACACAAGTCCCTAAACAGGAAAGTGAATGGGAAGAGGTTCTGGCACATCTTTTCTTTAAAATCCAGCAAATAAATTAACAGATCCCCGTGCCATACACAGGGCGGAGATTCATTATTGCGAAATACTTTCAAAAATTGAAAGAGTCAGGGAAATTGGTGGGAGTACTTTCTGCAAAACAGCTCTGTCTTCCAGCCCTGGCAAGCTCTCAACATCAGCCCAAATTAAACTATTATTTAAAACAAAATATGCATCGTAACCACATGCCATAGAAACCACACAGCATCCTCTTAGCGCGGGTCCCTGCACTTACTTATAACTTAATAACATTTTCTTGGACAAGATTTTTATATATTCAATTTCAGGGACATTGAGCACAAAACCTGGATATTTAATTCTCTCAAATCATTCACCTCACGGTTGCAGTTTGTTCTGGATCTCTGCCCAGTACAATAGAATGGGACTTTCTTTTTGTGTGTGTGTGTGCGTGTGTGTGCGCCGGTGTGTCTGTGTGCAAGTTAAATGATAGGAAAAAAAAAAAAGAAAAAGTCACCATAACATCCTGCACAAGGAGGGGAGGAAATCATGAGGGGCGAGAATATACCATATTTTTAATCGTATGGTTGCAATGGCAATCTCTGTTGCTGTTCCACGTTTGAGGGAGGGGGGAAAATAGAACTTAATTCAAGGGGAAAAAGAATGACTGTGTCAGTGCGTCCTGCACAGACTCGGAGGAGTTATACCCTCGTCAGGGGCTGTTCCTCTGCCAGTTTGGAAAACTTGGGCTTTCACTGCAAAATATTTACCGGGGGGGTGAAGCCAAGTTTCGCCCTTTGCCTCCTGCTCGGGCTTTGGCTCCGGTTCACCTCTCAGATGGAAACCAGGTACCAGCCAGATCGGCACGAGGGGAAGATACTGGTTCTTTCTTACTCAAACGCCATTGCATTATTATAATCATTATAATAATTATTAATAATAACAGTCTTATTAATAGCATTATTGATGGTATTATTACATATTTTCAAGGCGAATTATATATATTTTTTTCCATATCCAGAGGAAAAAAAGACAAGCCAGCTCGCGGAAAAAAGCACATGCTGAAGTTTAACTGTTTCCCCAATCTGGCTACATTACAAATAAAAGCTAATTAAGTTGTAAGCACACACACCCCCCTCCTTTTTTTTCTTTTTTTTTTTTCTTTTTATTAGGAAGGAGTGTGGCTTTGAAACATTCATACCCTGAACCGTTGCATTTAATAAACAAACAATTAAAAAACGCAAATAAACAGACAAACACGAGGAATAAGAATAAGAATAATAAAAAAGACACGGCCACCGAAAGCCGGCGAGGCGCTGAGGAGGGGAGCGAACCCGTCCCCGCATCTGCCCGGTGCACCGGAGCGGCGGGGGGGGAAAAGCCCCCGCTGCTGTTTACTTCCCCCACGTGAACTTTTCCTCCGTAATTTCTCCTCTTTCCCCCCTTCTTCTCCTTCTTCTTCTCCCTCCCGCCGCCGCCCTCCGCTCCCCTTTCCCCACCTTTCGCCCCGACATTTACGCGCTCCCCCCCGTCCCTTCCCTTCCCCACCGCCCGCACCCGCGCAGATTTACTCCCGCTTACTAAAGTGGTCTCTGCTGCCGGAGCCAGCGCTCTGTAGCAAAGAGGATGACTCGCTCCAGCTTTTGTGCGCTCTGGACTCTGTTTAAGCTCAGAGACGACGCTCATTTTTATTTTTATTTTTATTTACCGGCAGAGACAATGCCACCCCTCTCCCCTCCCCACCTCTCCCCTTAGGTTGGCATCAGCGAGCTGAGACTTTTCTTTAAGCCCTGATTTTAAACTTTACGCAGCATTGTCCCCTTTTATTGCACCTCCTCCAGCTTTTATACTGTTTACTTCCTCACTTTTATAACTTACTTTGATCTGTCCTGTCTTTGTCTTCGCTTCCTTCACAAACTTTATTGTCCTCGAAGCTGGGCCTTTGATTGGAAACGATCCCTTCCCTTGCAGCAGAAGTTTCTAAATTGTACTCCTGTGTTCCCTGTTTATGGACATCCCCGGGACGGCCCAGCAGCGGCTCTGCCTTAACAGAGCCCTGCCCGGGGAGGTTCTCTGCTCTGGGTACTGGATCCAGCCAGCTCCGGAGATACCTGCTATCAGATGGGACGCTTTGATGTTGAATATATGGATGGTAGACGGCAGGAAGGGTACCAGAAGAATGTGGATTCAAAGGAGTCCAGGAGGCGCTGAAAACTGGAGGTTTTGGCTGAAAACTACAGGAGGGGAATTCTAGATGCTCATTGTGCCCAGCTTGCCTGGAACTTGTATATTGCCCAGATGAAAATTTAGCTGAAGGCGAGTCTTCACTTTCATGACTTATAATAGAGTCGACATAATAATTGCTAAGAGTCCCAGAAATGGACATTCTCAGACATCATACAAAGCACGGTTCAATGAAGGGAAAAAAATATATAGGACAGATCTAGATTTGTACTCTACCCCCTTCTCCAACTTCCCAGCCAACAAAGTACAGTTGGGCTGCTGTGTTGTGAGCTCCCAGCAAAATGATTGGTCAAACTTTTTTCGTGTGCCTGATAAAGCGTCAGTCTCGGCGTAAATCAATCGAAGCCGAGGGGGCTGCGCTGCGCTGTCATCCGCCCTTGCATTCCATATCAAGGATGGATTGTTTTATGTTTATGCAATGTTGCAAAACGTCAGGAGTTTCGAAAAGCCACCAAACGGCCAGAGCTGGGGCTAATATATCCCCTTCCTAGATTTGTTCCTGAAATATTAGAGGGGGGGTCCGGAAGGGGGGTCATGGGGGAATAGAGATAAAAGCTATTCTTTCCCATTCGGGCTCCAGAGTACCATAGCAAAAAAAACAGAGAATAAGTACAAACCATCACACCCCCACACACCCCCCCGCCCTGATTTCATATACATACGTGTGTGTGCCTGCATTACGAGCATATAGACGTAAATGCACACATATATGCGTTTTTGTAAAGAAAAAGATGGATCTGGGTAGCAAGAGTGGTGGGGAGGGTGTTCTAAATAATTAACCCGCTGGGACGGGAAAATGGATTGTTAACATGGTAAAATAATGGGGGTAAATATGAAATTTAAAATGTCGCTGGCGCGGACGTGGCATTGCAACTTTCACCAGCGAGCTGCCGAGCCGCAACCCCTGGATGCATCCAAAGCCTGCCTTAGACTTCACGCTTATAAATATATATATATGTATATATATGGGTTTTTTTAAATAGCTGTGCATATGAACGCATGTTCGCATGTTTGGCGGTATAATCTCAGGGTTGCTTTGCTTGGGCTAAAATAGTTTCCCACATTGCTGAAATCAGAAGCCTTCATTTAACTTTACAAGGCTAGTAAAATACAGTGCGCTACTGATCCGGCTTTGTTACAGAATGCCTTAAACTTGTGATGGTTAAATAGTTTAATAAAACTTACATTAGCTTTCTTTGATTTTTATAGCCTTGAATTTATTGCCTGTGGAAAAGAAAGGGGGCGAAAAAAGGAATCCCTCGCGTTTTCAGTCACCGTGCCCCCCCCTCACACCTCACATGTGTGTGCCCACGGTGCGTGTGCGTGTCACACACACACCCCTCCACCCCCCGCTTGCATTTTGCGTGCGTTTTCGAAAACCCGACGGTTTCGGGGTGTTTTTTTCCTTGCATCGAAGCCAATGATTGACACGGTGCGGCTCCCAGCCCAAATGATGCGGGGTAACGGGGTCAGTTTTACCAAGTTATGATGATAAATCCGTTTATTGCGAGATGATCCGACGGCGTCGTAAATGTTGGTTAAGGAAAAGGTGCGCTCAATGATTACGGCAAAAGTGTTTCTCTGGACTTCAGCTGTAACAGTCTGGATCAATTTGCCTCCTTTAATCTATTACCCCTCCGCCCTTCTCCCTCTCACCCCAACACTGAAGGATATTTAAAGTGAAGGGCAAAGAGATTTCTAGGAATGATAAATCATCGCGAATCCTTCCTGAAGTGTATAGGGATGGAAGTCTATATTAACAGGCTAATAATAACATTGAGGGGTGCTAATAGCCGCCTGGAATGAAGGAAAAATGTATTTCGCATTTCTCTCTGTCTGTATGAGCGGGTGCGTGTGTGTGTGTCCATATGTCCGTGCCTACACAAAACGGATGTGAGACATTGCTATCAGAGGTGTTTTACTGATGCTGGAAGATTATGAAGGCGCTAAAAAATCTCCACCCAAAGCCTTAGGTTTTCCCTTATTCCTATATGCGGGGCTTTTCCATGAGCATCTGCCCTACAGCCTAATGGAGGGACACGTTTCCCCCATGTCCAGGACCAGAGATCCTCTAAATGAGGCGCTATTAGGAAGCTGTCCATTTTCATTAAAAAAAAAAAAAAAAAAAAAATCGAGGGGGTCGGGATGATGGGCAAAGAGAGCCGGAGCTTAATGGCGGAGGTCAGACTTATTTTTAATTTTTGCATCCACCAGGGTAGCAAGAGCCCCCCAACCAGCTCAAAATCCTCCCTGTGCTGGAAAAGCAGATTTCAGTCCGCGGGATCCAGCCAAGGTGAGCTTTGAGGAGTGGTTGGGGAACCCTCTCCAGCCTCTGGGCTAAGATCTTGCACAACCAGCCGTGGGTAAATGTCACCAGGTGAGTACTCCCCACCGACCCGCCAACTCTCCTCTGCCTTCCAGGGGGGTTAATCCAAAGTAACTCCACTTCACCCCTTTCGCGTTTAAACCGGTAAAGGCAGAGAAATCCCCTACCAGAGAGCAGCGTGGGACAGGGTCGCTGCTCTCTCCAGTGCATCTCACCCGAACAGGGGGTTGTGTGAAACGAGGGGGGGGAAATCCTGCTTTTTCCAACTTTTCACATTTCTATCTCCTTCCCCCCCCCTCTTCTTTTAACTTCCTGGGGAGGTTTTGAAATGAAAAGACCCTGTGTCATCAGATGTGAAATACGAGCTGGTTGCTCACATTGTCATATTTCTCGGCTTTATTGCCTTTCAGAGATGATTTTTAAAAATCAGACTATTTCACCAGAGATTCGGAGGGACTCCGCAAATGTTATGAGAGCTTGGGAGAGGAAAGGGGCTGATTTAAGTGTGTTGTGGAGCTTGAACTCGCTTGGCGCATGGAAATGTGTTTATACAACTGATGGATAAACAGCCGTGTTGGTAGCAGGATGTTGAATAAGTATAGATGAAATTATTGAACGTTAATTGAAGCAAAACACCTGTTCTCTGTTTGCTAGATAGATTGGCCATGTCTTACCTGTAATAAATATATTCTTGGAAAAAATCCTGGTGCGCCTCCTATAAATAATGATGAACTATGTCAGCATGTGAGTATATAATTTTCTGTAGTATATAAATTTAAACCAAGACGACTCTTAGGAGTGTGGCTGTGAGGCAGAAACCAAGGGCTTTCAGATCCCTAGTGAATGGAAACCTCACAAGAAGATCTGCAAAATCCATTTGCTTTTGCTCCTCTGGAGGTTTCCGTTTGTTCAGTAGTTTATTTTTTATACATATCCCCATAGCTCATCTCTTCGTAGCCTTTTCTGAGAGGGGCTTAAGGCAAACTACAGCTTCATCCCATGTCTGCCCGCTTGGAGAGAGCACGTCGTGCGGTGCTGCCTGCTTCGGGTGACACCATATAGGCGGTTATGTTTTAAAACCCCAAATAGAGCCCATCAGAAATTACATGAAAAGCTCTTCTGTTTGCAGAAAAATCTTGGAGAAGGAAACGTCAAGGAGAAAGTGACCTCGGAGCAGAGTCTAGAAGTCTAAAAGGATGAATCTTTGGGAGAGAGGAGGCAGGATGTGCGAGCTTTGCTCGGTTCGCAAACTAGATTAATTTTAGATATGTGATTGTTGTGAGTTGGTAAAGGGAAGTGGAACTGGAAATAGTTATTTAAAAAAAAAAAAAAAAAGTCCGAAGTGGAAACTTTTTCCTGCTTTCAGAATCAGCGCCAAGTGTATTTGGCTGTGAGGAGAAATTCGGAGTATTGTCAGCTTGCAATGGAAAGCCAGAGGCTTCTGAACTCAGAAACTGTTTATAAATACTCTTTATTGTTTGTGCAGAGAAGGAACCATTTCCAAATAGTGCTTTGAAATACACGACTGCCAAAATCCATCCTTAACAAACAGCTCTTTGGGTTGGCATTTCTAAGCTGAAAACAACCGAATAGAAAAGATTTTCAAAATATGCAGATTTTAGGTCTGTGCAATTGCCACCTTTTATTGATTTATAAGTTTTGGCATAAGAAAGAAAAAACAGCGGATGAGCCATTTCTTACCGGAAACATATTTAGACCCTTTTTAAGGATGGTTGTTTTCATTTATTAGAACTGACACCTTTTTCCAGCTGATTTTGCCTCTTTATCACGGATATGGGGAAGATGGAGGAGACCTGGGGGTGAGGAGCTCTCCCCCCGTCCCGAGACACGGACAGGGCAGGACTGGGGGGGAGTCACTGGGATCTTTACACCAAGAGGCCGACACGGCGTCGGGTGTAACGTGCATTACTTTAGGCATATTTACTTCTTCAGTTTAGGTTTGGAAGCCGATAAGGATAAGCTAAGAGAGGATAAAAGCTGAGAGTGAACTTCATGGCTATGGAGAGTCTGGAGACCAGATTCGGAGATAACCCAGCCTTCAAAGGGCTGAGCGTTTATTTTAGGCGATATAAAACATTCAGAAATTATAATAATAATAACAATAATAGTGATAATCACAACAACAAGAAGCAAATAACTTTTTTTTCTTTTCCCCAAAGCCAGGAAACAGAAATAAAAACTCAGCATAAAGCAAACATAATTGATGAATGATACATTTAGGCAGGTCTAAGAGATTATGAAAGGAACTTCAGTCACGGACCCCTCCAAACGCACAAAAACGCCCCCAAAAAAAAAAAAATCCCTCCTGAAGAGTAAAACCTTAAAAAAAAAAAAAAGTTAAATAAGTTTCTGTAGCCTAAAAGCTGAAGTATCTACCTTTGCCATTTCCTGTGCTAGCTCTCAGTTTGAATGCTGCCGTCTGTTAAAAATCCGTAAGTGGTGAGGAGGGAGGGAGGGGGGGGGGAATTCCTTGTCTGAAGAGAAGCAAAAACAAGTTACACATGTGGGCAATTTTCCAAGGACCGAAAGTATACTCTGGCTAAAAACCCCAATTCCAAATGAGGTTTGTAATCTCAGCAGTTAATAAAGCATTTCGATCCCCTGCAAAGTAAAAGCGTATGTGCATTTGAAAAGCCAAGCTGGAAGGAGAGAAAGTTAAAATAAAGTTTGATTGTTGTTCAGGAACCCACATTCTGGCTACTAGACTAATCCCCACCACCGCCACCTCCCCTCGCCTCCCTCCTTGAAATAATATTCAGCTCCCATGAAATAGCTGGGCGCCCGCCTTGCTCCGG